CGGGGGTGAGACACCGCCAACTTCCTGACTCCAGGCAACTACTGAGAATTTCTTGGCGAAAATACTCAATAAATTGTTATTTTGTCCCGACTCGACATTCGAACCCAGGACCTCATGATCAGCTCTCACACTGCTACAACCACTAGACCAACAAGGCAGTCAAAATCAAAAATAAATATCAAAAGTGCCTAAATACTTATAAGAGAGAAATATTTTTTGGTAACGTAAGGCTCAGGTCAGCTGATTCTAAAAATGTTGGCTGGAACGATGTTTTGGCCGCTTGGCGCCTACACAACGAAAGATGTGCATGCGTCTCGCTCGCCCACTACAACTTCCATTCACTAACGATCGTAGCCTATTTTTAGTTTTACACAAACGCCATAGGATGAATTGTTTTTATGCATTTCTTGGATATTCGGAAATTTTGCCTATCTAGTTATATTTTGTTATATTATACAAACACTTTCAAGGATAGCTTCTATTCCACTTACACAAAACATCATTATTGTCCGGAAGTTAAAAATAATGCTTGCTTGTACGCGCGCACGTGTGTGTGTGTATGTGTGGAAGTATGTAGTAACGTTTGTAGGTAAGGGTCGAAAAATTTGGTGTTGTAATTACATAGCATCCTAGACAGAATTGAGTTTCATCGATACCAGCTTCAGAGAATCTATTTCACCTGTGAGCAATCAATGCAAAAATATCATACCGAGCAACTCACGCCGTTCTCTTAATGGTAGAATTAAGTAAAAACGACAACTATCTTCGTAGGTAATACAATTTTGAATCATATTGAAATTTAGGCATTTAATGAATTTTCTCTGGATGGATTCAATGGCATCAATATGCTTAGCGTACTGTGGGGACCAAACACAGCTCGCATATTTCAGTAAGGTTCTTACATAAGCAAAGTAAATGGCATTTATGTAAATGATTTTACTGAAACGCATGCACACTCAATACACAACCCAGCATTTTGTACGATCTTTCTATTATGTGGTTTATATGATCCACTATTGTGAGCTTGAAATCCAAACTTACTCCTAAATCCCTAACGCTACAAGATTTTTGTAGGGGAATGTTATTTATTTGGTTACACTTTGAAATGAAATTACATTGATGCTTATTCTAGTAATGTTATAATATTTTGCCAGGTTGTCGAAGTCATTATGAAGAAGTATACAATCTTCAATTTCTCTTACATTACAGTTAAAAATTTTATCATGAGCAAACAATAGAAATTTGAAATGTCTAAGATATGTCCAATCCGAACTTGTTGGGATTTCTCGCCCGACTGCCGGCGTCTACAGTGCAAATTGAGTGTATTTATAGTTTAATTTAATCATTTTGTCTTTATTCTGTTGTTTCTGTCAGTGTTGTTATCTACCTAAACGACTATGGATATTGAAAATATAAAAATAGAAAAGAATACCGGCAACGTCCAATTTTGGCACAAGTGGTATACTGTTGTAGTGTAAGCACATACACGTCTCAGTTACTCGTCCGGGTAGTTCTGTCCGCCATCGGCCGACAAAATCGGTTTTGGTGTAAACGTACCGTAACGTCCGGGATATCATCAGAATAGTGTCGGATAATATAAAAATTATTAGTATATTTATGCATCAACTGATGGTATGCACATACATTATAAAAACTGACATGGTTCCTTTTTGTGTTTAATATATATAGCTTTTCAAAGCTGTGTTAATATGCTTATAAAATTTTTAAACATCTCTAGGATTTTTATAAAATGTATAAATTATTCTGATACAAGCTATAAAATTAAAATAAGACGAACATTAAAATTAAATTTAAATAAAATTCAAAACATAAGAGTAGGTATATCGATCGCGTACTACGTTTATCAAGCTTTTTTTCAAGAACATTGAAATCCGTCCGTAGTTTTGGCGTGAATCGTGAATCAGACAAAAATTCTATAAATCACTATTTGTAATTACTAATTATTCTTTATTTAGCCTCATAGAATTGTTTTTTTTACTACTTTTCTTTAACTACTAATTAGTCTGTATGTAATCTGAATCAGTTCTATTCCTCACAGAAATTCACTTTTCTTTATCTCTTTCACCAAAAGTTTATGCTATTATTACGTTTTACTTTGTTATTGCTCTGTACTGTGTACGGTGGATTGTTTAACACAAGTTCCGTTTTCCAGAATTATAGCATCAGCATCATTTGATAAATCAGTCAAGCTGTGGGAAGCAGCTTCAGGCAAATTTATTACCACACTCCGAGGACACGTGCAAGCAGTTTATATGGTAGCGTGGTCAGCAGACTCAAGACTTCTTCTTAGTTCTAGTGCTGATTCTACTTTAAAAGGTGTTGTCTTAAATGTCATTTGAAAATTATGTGTTTTCTTTTTTAATATAAAATAAGACAATGAAACTACAGTCTACCTGATGGTAAGTGGTACTGCATTCCATGACCTGTAACCAACTTAAAAAAAACTACGGATGCATTGTCTTTAAGGAGTAACATGGAACGCCTCACGCCTAATAATCGTACTAGCTCTCTATACCCTTCAGACGCAACACATAGTAGACAGGAACACAGCAGTGCATTTACTGCTATTTGGCGTCAAAAATAGAAGTAGTGTTATAATATAATTATGTATATCTGGTCACTAATATATACGGAAGGGTTATGTTTTTTTATAGGAGAGGTAGAAAACAAGCATAGAGCTCATCTGATGGTAAGTTATTCCATTTATCCACCCTAAAATATCCGTCCTAAGGTGGATACTCGGAAATGCGTGTTTATCTATCCACCCAAGAAATCGGAATTCGTATAATATATTATTTTTCTTCCGATTTCCTCCATCGGCTGTGTACAATCATTTATAGAAATATCATAAAAACTGGCCCAAGATACTTAGTACACATTATAACTATATACATACTTCTTGTTCGAAAGGTAAACGCTGAAATAAAAGGAGTACCTCACAGAATTACAGATTCATTGGAATCTTGGCATAATATAATTCAAAATGGAGATAAAGACAAAAGTAACGTTTTTGGAATGCTTGCAACAAAAAACGCCCAGTTTTTCGCTAACATATCCGTTGTAGCAAAGAAATTTAGAAAACGATTGCAAATATAAATTTAAAGTGACGAATTTATCCAGGATGGCAAATTAAGTCTACTCAATAATAAAATTAATGATGGTAATTTCCAGAATTTATAAAATTATGAAATAATATTATTTAAAACGACAAAGTTTAATTTGATTTAAATGCAATAGGTACATAGTGCATGGGCTTTGAATAGGCTGTTACACACTTTAGTTATTAATAATTAAAGTGTAGGTACCTATGTGTTTCAACTCTTTAACTAGAGAAAAAAGAAAGGACATGACATAAAGATCGTTAGTTGTAGGAATGTAACGAAATATCGGCGTCTCTTTTTAGCTTATGAGTATATTCGTATGTAAAAAAGGACAACAGTAGTTATATCATTACCGAATATGGCAACAATTTTTTCGCTGCGGCAGGGCGCCATATTTTGTCACAGTCAATGACAACTATATCAGTTGTCATTACGACTTTAGTGAGGTGAGTGTATTATTTTCATAAGTTTCTCTCGTGGAATTCGATTATTACGGAATTTCTTATTCTATTCCTCGGGACCTCTAAATCGGGATAAAAAGTATCCTATATGTTAATTCAGGTAATGAACTGTTTGTGTGTCAAATTATTACATTCAAACTGGTTTGATACTTTTGGCGTGATTGAGGAACAAACATTCAAACTTTTGCAATTATATTATAGTTTGCTTAGTGTGAGTATGATGACTGAGCCTAATTTATTGTCCAACAAACAAAGAAAAATTCTTTAATTAGTATTTCTTGTTAAGTAATTCCCGGGAAATAATGGTAACATTAATTATAGACACACATTATAAAAACAAAGCAAAAACGACTGCTTAAAAGTAATGAACTGAAAACATAGGTATAACTTATAATATATTTAATCATCTCCTTTTAATTTCATTTATTTTGATATCGATAGGTGGGGTAAAAAAAATTATGGACTTACAATTTGGCGCCAAAAATCCGTCATATTGATTTAAAAAAAACCTATTTAAGAACACACGGGTGTTTGAGACGAATCACACGAAAGAATCTTTCTAAATAAGCGCCACATTATCGATATTAAGTATAGTGCGCAGCACTACGTCAAGCCGCCATCTTTGTGCCAGATTCAGTTTAGGTATACACGTTTTTTTCGTAGGTATGTCATGTCCTTTCTTTCTTCTGTAGTCAAAGGTTGAACTGTACTTGTGGTATAAAGTCGGAAGAACAAATTCCGATTATCCACCCCGTCTGGGGTGGAGATAGATGAACATGTGTTTCCGAGTATACACCCCAGAGCGGATAAACGAAGTAACCCGTACGGTATATTATGTTACGGCTAATATTAGTGTAAATAGTAAACTTAAGATTAGCTTGCTAAACTTAGGTTTAGTCTTGTTTACGTTAAGTTTGATTCATTCATGGTACGAGGGTTACCAAAAAAAAAAACCTAAAGTCTAGCTGGCTAAATTTAATTTCATTAGCTGTAAATTTATTAAAACTGGTGGAAATTTACTTATATCAAATATTTTAGTTTGGAGCATGAAAACAAAAAAGCTAGAGCTTGATTTACCTGGACATGCTGATGAAGTATTTGCTGTAGATTGGTCTCCTGATGGAAGTTATGTAGCTTCAGGTGGAAAAGATAAAGTATTAAAATTGTAAGTACAACTACTGTTTTCTTTAATACATGCTGATTATTATTATTTTGCATAATTTCTTTGTATTCAGATTGAAGGTACATTTAAAACTGAGTTATTTAATATAAAAGTAATTTATATATGAATGTTTCATTGTTACAGGTGGCAACATTAAAAAAACAGTTTACATTTATCAGTTTATTTTCGGAATAAATCAATTTATTACATACATAATGTGTTTTCATTATTATAAATTAATTCATGTGTTTACTGCTACTTAATTTTTATACTCTTTTTAACATTTGCTTTTATTCCTGAAGGTTCACCACCATATCTTGCTATTTCTGATCTTGGCTCTCGAATTGCACCCTTCCTTCTGATCTTTGCTTTACGGTACTTTAATTTATGTTTTACTCTTGGATTTCTTTGTTCCTTCTTTCTATGGGGTGTAAGGCCTTTGTTTTTAGCAATTTGGTATGTTATTTCACGTTTTTCTCCCAGGTCATCAGTAATGACCTCTGTAGAGGAGGTGGTCGGCTTGTTATCATCATTCTCCACTACATCATTGTCTGAAAAGCCACTCTCCTCCGATTCATTAATATTTCTTTGCACATTTTTGGAAGAATATGGTTTTAAGAACTCATCAGTTAGTTGATCCTCTGCAGTATCATCGTCATCTGATACACCAGTGTCTTCACCGTCATCTTTTTCTAACGCATTTATCAATTTAAGTTTCTTAGGTACATGTTCAAATGACTGTCTGTCTGTTTTCCTTTTTTTGCCATCTTTATTTTTGTCTTTCGTTACAGTAAGCTCTAAATTATTTTTAACTGCCAGTAATATTTTGTCTATTTGAGGTTTTATCACCTCTAAATAAATAGGTTCCATTTTATTAAGCATTTGTCTGTACTGATATAGTCTTTTAATGACAGGATGATTCTGAATATTTATTCTTTGACTCTTTAGAAGCAAATAAAAACTGATATTAGTGCAGTAGTTTAAAATAAGGTCATAATTAGTTTTTATAAATTTAGACGCTGGACATTTAGGGAGTTTTCCCCCTTTTACAAGTTCTAAAACAGGATGCAAATCATCTTTTGCAACAGTTAATTTAGTCTTAAAATCATCAATAAGACCTGCAAACTCTGGACTTTCCTTTTCAAGTATTTGCAGTTTTTGTTTTTTTGACATTTGGCTTAAATCACTTTTTACTACAGTTTCCTTTATATCGCTTACTGTAATCTGTGAATTGAAAAATTCCATTGAAAAATCTTCTTCTCCAAGTTGTTCAATTAGCCTTTTCTGAATATTTTTCGCTTCCTGCTCTTCCATTAGAGCATCTTCTTCATCATCACCAAAACCACCATAATCTTCATCTACATAATCAGTAGAATAATAAGATCTTTTCTTTTTACCCCATGCTTTTGCATCAGGTAAGTCACCATCAGAATTTTCTTGTCCCTCAACATCACTATCTGCAATACCTAAGTCATCTTTATTATTATCTTCCTCTTCTGACTCTGAAAATGCAAACATTTCTTCTTCGCTTCCTGATTCATCATGTTTTCTTTTTCGCAACCTGTCCATAAGTTTTTTCTCTTTAGCTGAGTATTCATTTTCAGAATCTGATGGCTCATAATCTCCCTGAAGATCAAACTTTGAATTCACTCTGAAACATAAATAAAATGTAAGAATATTTTACACGAGAGCTACAGTCACACATGCTATGATGGCGACACTGAAAGTTTTTAGAACTGGCCACTTGTAAACGATATAATAAAAAAATAAGTTCAAATTTTGAAAATGGAACTCTGCCAATATTAGTGTGTATGTATTTTATTAATATGTCATTTGTTAACGATTTGGCTATGGAGTGTAGAAGTAAGGAGTACCAACTCCCATAGTAGAATAGTTGAAAAAGTGGCCATCTGTAAGCAGTAAATAACAGTTCAAAACTCTCCACAACAGCGCTGGAGTAGCTACTAGGATGAAATGAACTTAGCAGTTGTCGACTGTTTAAGTGTGTTGCTAAACTGCTCAGTAGCTCTAAAATCTTAAATAATTTTATTTAGTAAATATAACCTCGAAAAAGTAGTCTATCCCACTAATATTTTTCGGTGCGTTCTTTAAAATTTACCCCGTAGTTATAGTGGCGCCACCCTTATTTAACGGTTTTTTACTTCTACACTCCATAGATTTGGCGGCAAATTAAAAATTGTCTGTGTCACGTCATCGTGAATTTAACGCGAGAAAATTTTCATACAATGATTTTTTATGACTTTCAATGTCCATTTAAGTCAACAAGACAGTTACGATATGACTTTTATTGGCCTTTCACGATGAAGCCACATCTCGTGCCACGGTTTACAACTGGTTTAATGAGTCTAAATGTGGTTGCACAAATCTCAAAAATGCGTGAGGGACGGCCTTTTATGGCGGGACTGAAGATAACATCAGTGTTGTGCGGCGTATTTTAGAGACTGATAAAAGAAGTGACTTATCAGCAGATTTGGACAAGCTTAGGCATCAGTATGAGTCAAGTGCACAAAATCCTCCGTGAACATTTAGCGGTCAGGAAGCTTTTGACAGAGGCCCAAAAACTCCGTCGTGTTGATTGGTGTCGTGAAATAGTTCAAAGATTTAATGGCGGGAACTCAAATTCTGTGTTTGACATACTTACGGATGACGAAAGCTGGATTTATTGTTATGATCCTGAAACCAAGAGACTGTCTGCTGTCCTGCTTCAGAGGTCGAAGCGTGGGAAAAAAGATGGTGGCCTCGTTTTTCGGAAGGACAGGTCTTATTTTAGAGGATCGAAAAAAGTTACTGCAGAGTGGTACAATAACAATTGTTTGCCACTTGTCTTGGAAAAAGTTCAGGAGAAGCGACCTCATAGTGGGATCCTTCTTCATCACGACACCTCGTCGCACACTGCCAAGCAATCAATCAACTACTTGGCGATGTCAGACGTAGAATTACTGGGTAACCCACGATGAATGGCCAACCGACTGTCTCTGGTTCTCTACAATCATCATACGAAACACCAGCATTAAGCTACTATTTTACGCTGGTATTCTGTGACAGTGTGGTCCTTCCCCAGTCGAGCCGACCCATTCATGCTACAACTATACTACTAATATAACTGCAGCATGGCTCTACCATATACGTGTCCCAAAATTCAACGATAAGCTAACACCGGAGGATAGACCTGCCCCGGACTAATCGGGGAAAAAAAGAAAAAAATATATATCCCGATTATATTCTAAGTTATATAAAAAAAATTAATTTCTTCAGAAATTGAGACCGTTTATGATATTTTTCACTACCATGACCACAATTTTTTTAATATTTTTTTCTTTTTTTTTATAGGCAACCTGAATAGTACTGCTATCTACCACAATTCTTAAAAACTCCAGAATAACTCTTGTTTTATCACGAAAATTAATGAAACTTATTTTATTCCATAAATTTTTTGAAGACTTACTTTTAACCAAATTTAACTTATCGTGGTGTAAAAAAAAAGTATGAACACACTAGTGCCATACTAATGGCAAGTTTTTTTTAAAAATTGACGCAACTAACCAACATCCCAAAATGGTATAATACTCTAGGAAAACAAGTTATAAAAAAATATGGGCCTATTATTTCTAAACAGGGGCCAAATGATGGTCGGGTGTAATAAAAGTATTAGTTCTTGAAAAATGTTTCATATTTCAAAAAAATGGTACAAACAGTTTCACATGTAATTTATTAAGCTATTAAGTAATAGATGTACTATCAAGAGGATTGTGTGTTTGTTGTTTGTCCCCTGCCTTTTTTTATATTTATGTGAAATATAATGAATCAAAATCTGAAAATTAGATTCTACAACCAGTACATGCAGCCAGTCATGACTTATGAATCTAAGAATTCACTGCTGGCCATATAAGGACACTCAAAGACGCTCAGCAAGCTATGGAGAGGGCTATGCTGGAGGTTACTCTGCGTGATAAACTTAGAAATGAGGATATCTGTAGTAGAACTAGAGACTGACATAGCCCAATGGATTAATAAGCTGAAGTGGCAATGGGCCGGCCATATAGCTCGAAGAACTGACAACCGATGGGAAAAAAGGTTCTCAAGTGGCAGCTTCCTACCAGTGAGCATTGATGGATGCAGGTGGCCATGCTTTTTGATGATGATGATGATGTGAAGTATAATAGTAAATGTTTACTTTATTGAATATTTATCCATAAAATAAAAGAACTGAAATTTTTCTGTACAGATTTACCATGCTTATTTATAGAAAGTAGACATTAATTTTTTCCTTACCAACCTATGGAGTTTGAAGTTTATGATGCTATTTTGCAACAAAAAGTCCCTTAAACTACAAGACATCATCTGCACACAATATATTATATTAAGCTGGCAATATGAGTGTCAAGCAGCTAGGCATATTTATTTACAACTGATCAGGCAAACTCAAAAAATTGGTTTTGTATACATTTTGATATCCATTGCAATTAAAGCCCAGGACTTGTGCGCTACTGTTTCATGTACTCTAGCCATCCAGCCACATAGTAAGCTAGGCCAGCAAATCTATTTCAAAATACAAAACGAACTGAAGTTGGGCACCACCAGTACGTGAGTGTCCTTGACACTGACGAACCAGTGTGCCAAGCGTTGTGGGTATGGGCGTCACGATAATCTCGAAAATGCCTGCATTCAGCTGTGGATTCATAGAAGCTGTAAACGAAGAATAAACAGGGGAATACAGAAAAATCAATTTATTCTATTACATACCTTATTTTATCTGCCATGGTTAAAATTATATTTTATTCGAAAATTTACGAATGTATATGTTGAATACAGGTTAATAAATAATCATTGCCTTTTATATAATTGACTCTCTTATATTAATTTATAATTGGTATGTAAACTTTAAAATTTCAAGACTATGTTCTGTTTGTCGTGACTACGAAAAATATTTAAAATTTCAACAAAATTGTAATCTCTACATAGCGCAACCACGATGATATTGAACAATATTGTCACAGACTACTAAGATGATACATATATTACGCAGAATGATACTACGCATAATCATAGATTATGGTGCGCATAATGTTGTTGAAAATAGATAATAAAGGTAGGCAATTAGGTATATGTCGAGATGAAATCGATTAATCTATGAATCGATTTCTTATGCCAAAAAGCTCGATTTTAAATTGAGATCGATTCTTTTTCTAATTTCATAAGAACTATATTGTTTACAATTAATTATTAATTTATTATGTACCCAAACTCGTAAAGAACGACAGTTTTTCTATTCAAAAACTAGCATAACTGCTGTGTGCTCTGTTTCTACCACCTGTTCTTAAAGGATTAATTAATTTTAGTGGATTAAAGAAATAAAAAAATATGTAACTTTTGTAATTTGTACTGTATACTATTCTGAAAACAAATAGAAAAAGATCTACTTTTGGGAAATCGATATTTTAGACATCGACTTTTTTATTAATCGACTCATCCGAGTTCGGTTTGAATTGTTTCAAAAATCGACTTTTTCGGAAAGAATCGACATCCCTAATTGGAAATGGTTACTACAGAGCATAAAGTATCGATTTATAGGAGTGCTCTATATAAATCGATATTTCACAAAATATCGATATATCGAACCGATCAATTCGAAAATTATTGAATCATCCGATACCGATAATGGTATCGATATATTTCATCCGATCCATCGTACAAATTTAAAAGTACACCTATTTCATATTTACCCTGAACATAATTTCTTTATAATATTAAATATAAAATTAATATAATTTTCACATAATGCTTAACACAATTTATCGAAGAATTAAAGCCCCAAACTTCAGGATCTGATATGGAGAAATGATTTTGTTAATTTACAATATTTACAATTAATATTCATAATCATAACACACAATATAAAAAACCGTATTACAGAAAAACTAAAATTAAGAATTTAAATTTTCATAAATACCTGCTCCCCGGGATATCGTGGCAAGAACGCTAGCTGCGTTTCCTCGCTGAATAGTTATACTTAGCCTTTGAGTGAGAAAAGAACCAGCCCTCTTATCACCAGCAGCGACGACCAGTGGTAGATACAGTACCTTCAGGAACTTTACTGCTCGTGGACCCCATGGACCGATAGTCTCTACAGCAACTGGCATAAATATGTAGTAATTTCTCAAAGACTCATATTTGCGCCATTTACTTCAGCTGCCTCTGATGCCGCCCCGGCTCTAAAAGAAGTATCCTTGAGATGAGAGGCCACCAAAATGTCAACGCAAGTAGCATCCCCCACTAGGGCCTTACCTCTCTCCCAAGGGACCAAAGACATACCGTCGGGTCTCTTGCCATCGCCTCTAAATATTCCGCAAGGCTCTAAAACCGAGGGAATATTTATGGAGACAAGAGCCCTTCGGATGACTTCGTTCAAAGAGCCGTGACGGGAAAATCTACCAGCACTTTTCTTGCATGAAAGTTCGTGGAACCCAAACTCATCGACGCTGCTACCACAGGGGCACTGGTGAGGTTGACAAATTTTCGCTCCTAGACGGATTCCTACGGCGAAGTGCAAGCTTTCCCCATCAAGCAATGTGCCGAGATTACCTGATGGAACAGCGTGTAACCATTGACTAGATTCCTTATTCGAAACAGCTAGAAGGCGAGCCTGATATTGGTCACAGTGGAAATTGTGAAATAAATTTTACTAAGCCCTCCGAACTAGCGGAATATCCCACTGTTTTTGTTGGTTTACTTCCAGTGGGACATTTTCGCCGGGACAGAGCGTTAGCCATGTTTGCCTTGCTTCCGTAGCAAAGCAAAGGTCTATTTTAAGATTATTTACCAACATAACGCAAGCAAGGAAAGAGGCAATTCGACCTAGAAATTTCTTACACCAATACCACCAAAAAAATCTTGATTCCAGTATTGCTCAAATTTAGGATTTTTTCTAAAGATATTTTAAGATTATTATCAATATCTTTTAAAAAAACATTTCCGGACTGGACTTGAGCGTATTAAGTATGTAAATTTAGGTACAAAGAGACAATATTTTAAAATAGTAAGAGCATTAAGGGGGTTTAAGATATAAAATTTATCAACGAAAAAAAAATTGATCAAATTTTGTTTTTAAAACAGGTTTAATAGTGTCGAAAAATAACGGAGCATCGAGCAGGTATAGGTATAGGTTTTTATTCATGGACAAATATGATTGAAATTTCGAATTAAAGTATCTCTGTTAGAACTAGATAAATTATTGGAGATAAATATTTCACATTTATTGCTATTCGGTTCAAGACCAATATTTTTAAATTTTTGAAAAAGATGAGTAAGATCACCGAAGACGTCATCTGCTTTACCTCCTAATGTACCGTCGTCCAGGTACCAGACATTCAGCTTGGATTTCAAATTTGAAATAATAGGTTGAATTCCCAAACTGAAAAGAGCTGGACCTAGTGGATCGCCCTGCTGAACACCGACAGCAGACTCAATAATATGGTTTTGCGAAAACAAGTTCGAATTTTGACTGTCACATTGCCAAACGTAATGATATATTTCGGGGGTATTGTTAGCCACTTCTTTCAGCAGGGTTACCCTATCAATATAGTTAAAAGCATTTGTAAGGTCAACCTTCAATAGAACATCTGAATTAGAATTTGTTAAAAAAGTACGCACTGAATTTACCGCCGCCTCAGAGTCACCTTTAGCGCCAAAGCCTAATTGAGTAGGCTGAAATTTTGTATTAAGGTTTGAGATTATGTGCCTGCAGGCTAATTTTGAAGTTAGGCGTCGAAATGTGGAACCAACAGCAATAGGACGGATATCGTTATCCTTTTTTTAAGGTATACAATCTTACCCCTTATAAGTAAGGAATCAAATTGGGGTTGACATTACCAGAAAGCATAAAATTACATAATTTTGTAATGTCATCAAGAAGTCTACCGGCGTCACCGGCAGAGGAGCTTACAAGATATTTGAGATGTTAATGCGTAATCCCGTCTTAAATTGAATTTCTGTTCTGCAGTACTGGCCATTTTGATTCAAAATAATTTTTGTTTGGTTCAAAATTCTAATATCAAATTAATTTTATTTTAAAAATATGGAATTCTTTTTTCAAAAAAGTCATTTGTTTATTGATTAGCGTTATGTTCCATCACATTTTAATATTTTTCGTCATCATGGATACGTTAAAAATTTGATTATTTATGGAATATGAGTACCGTTGTGGCAGCAGCGCGGCACAAGCGGCACGCAATAGCAACGACGATTTCGGAGCGAATACTACAAACAAACGCACCACCTGTTATTGGCTTGCCCGTTTCGGTCTGAAAAATGAATCCCGTGGTCGTGCGAAAATTTTGTTGACAATGACGAATTAAAGGCGATTGTGGAAGCTGACGATACTCAATCTACGGCTAAATTAGTAGCAGCTTTCAACGTTAGCATCAAAACAATATTGGTCCATTTACGTCAAATTGGCAAGGTAAAAAAGCTTGACAAATGGATGCCCCACGAATTCAATGACCGCCAGCGCGTAGTAACGCCAGAAATTTTGAACTGCATTGTTACCTGCGACGAAAAGTGGATTCTGTTTGACTATTGCAAGCGCTCAGCAATTCGTTGGATCCTAGTTAAGCATCTAAACAATGCCCTAAACGATAACTTATCCTAGAACAGTTATGTTCATTGTTTGGTGGTCGTTGTTTTGAGTATTTGTTGTTCCTATTTTGTTATTGCCTTTATGTTGCTGCAATGTCAAAAAGCTCCAGAAAAACTGTTTTAAATTGCGAATCTCGCGAGTTTGTGATTCATTTGCGTGACTATTTTGAACATGAATAAGTGTGTGACAGAGTTGCTGAGGCTCTTGTAATTGGAAGAGCTACTATGACTAAAATCATCAAAGAAAAAATTTGGAGATACATCTACGAAGAAGAGTAAGTTATCTACTTCAAATAAAAAGAGAAGGAAACGTTTCCCTGTAACTGACATAGACGATTTTGACGTCGCAGTAATTCGTAATCACATCTACGCATACCACATACGTAACGAGCCGCCAACATTAAGAAATTAACAAAATTTCTGAAAGATACAAATTTATTCAGTGGGAGCCTACTATCTTTATCAACAATATTTAAAAAAAATGGATTCTATTATAAAAAGTAACAAAAAAATTAATATGGAACTTAACGGCATTGTTGATCTTGCACGCATTAATTTTTTACGAAAAGTAATAGATATTGATAATTCGGATAAAGTGGTGTTCCCGGATGAAACATGGCTGAATGCAAACCACACGGTTTCTAAAACTTGGACTGATGATAAACTCGAATCTCTACCAAGGTACCTGAGGGCAAAGGTCAAAGATTAATAAAATTATAAATCGGCAAATGCCGTGCTGGTACCTCGTCGGGATTTGTACCAAATTGTTTACTGCCATTCAAGTTTGTCAATACCACGGAGTACCACGAACAGATGAATTTTAAAAAATTCGAAGAATGGTTTATAAAATTTCTAAATAATTTAGATGAACTCCTTGTGATACTAATGGACAATACACCCTATCATTCATTTTAAAAAATAAACCTCCAACAGTAAATAACCAGAAGAATGAAATAATTTCGTGGTTGCAAACCAATGGTGTATAAGCCGACATTACAATGGAAAGAAAAGGGACATACCGTTATCCGCCTGCCACCGTATCATTGCCAGTATAACGCAATAGAATTGATTTGGGCACAAGTTAAAGGTATTTAATATTTAAATGAAGTTGATTAATTATTACATC